CCCTGCTCCCCCTACTGACCCCACTCCTCTCCTCGCAGCACAGCGCCCCCTACTGACCCTGCCCTGCTCCCCCTACTGACCCCACTCCTCTCCTCGCAGCACAGCGCCCCCTACTGACCCTGCCCTGCTCCCCCTACTGACCCCACTCCTCTCCTCGCAGCACAGCGCCCCCTACTGACCCTGCCCTGCTCCCCCTACTGACCCCACCCCGCTCCCCGCAGCTCCTGGCTGCTCCCCCGTGCGCTCAGGCGGGATCCCCGCACCCACCTTGTAATAGGCCGTCTTGGCATAGATCTGGAACTGCCCCTCCGTGGTCAGCAGGGAGCCGTAGTTGGAGCCTCTCTGTGCGGAAGCAAGCGCCGGTGTGAGGGGGGACAGCGGGCAGCACCGACACGCCCAGGGTTTCAGGGGCACCCCCCCTCGCAGCCCTCGGGGAACCCTCCCTCCCATCTCTCACCCCCACCACTCCTGCTGCCCTCCACCACTCGGGGGGAGGGCAATGGCTTGGAAGGGTGACAATGGCTGGAGGGGGCCCCAGCAGGCCGTGGGGGACCCCTCCCTATCACCGTTTCAAAGCCAGCTGGACCTGGGCGCCCCCAGCCCCCCTCTCCTCCCACACCTCCAACGCCTGGCCGGGCTCAGCACCTGCTCAGGGCTCCCTGATTGGATTTGCTTTGAATTAACCTCCCTGGATCTACAGCTGTAACCAGGGGCCCTGGCCCGGCTGCCTTCGCCCAGTGCCGGCTCGAGAGGGGGTCCCTCGGGGGGGCTGCTCGGCCCAGGGTCCCAGCCAGACACCCACCCTCCTCTGCCAGGTCGCCGAGCCCCGGGAGGCTCACCAGGGACAGGGTCAGTTTGCTCCCGGTGCTGCGCAGGTGTTTCTCCAGGCTGCTGGACTGGACGTCCTCCCAGCGCACACGCCACAGCTCGGCCGCCAGTTCCTTCTCCAGATTCAGCTTCCTGTGCCGGGGTGTGTGTGTGTGTGAGAGGGCATCAGGCGCCAGCCCGGTCCCAGTGCCCCCCACGCTGCTAGTTATCTGTACGGCGGTAGCACCTGCCCGAGCCATGGCCAACCACCCCCTTGGGCCAGGTGCTGCCCAACCTCCCTCCCGGGCCCAATCCCACCTCCACCCCCTGCTGTCGCCTCCCCCCACATCTGCCCGTAAAGCAGGAGCATTTCCCCTGCCCTTCCCCCCGCATTTGCGGTAGAGCCCCCCGCCCCATATCCCCATCCCTGCATCCTGGCCAAGGTCAGCCAGACGCAGCCCCCTCCCCGGCCCAGCCCTGGGGGTGCAGGGCCCCTCCCCGCACCTGTAGATGAAGAAGGAGGTGACGGTGATAATCAGCAGGATGAGGCTCACCATGACGGAGAGGATCTCCAGGGTGGTTAAACTGGCTGCAAAACAAGGCAGGAGGGCGATGGTGGGGAGTGGCTGACTCAGAGTCCTGAGTTCGAATCCAGCCCAGGGGCTGTATGTGCTGGTCTGTGCTGGGGGGGGGGTCTCAGCCAGGGAAGTTCCCATGGCAACACCCACTAGGCAGCAAAGCCCACAGTGGGATGGGGGGAGCATGCCCAGTCACTGGGCCTGTTCTGGGGGCACAGGGTACCAGGTGCAGAGAAACACCAAGGAGACTTGTCCTCCCTCGTGGCTTTGCGGGCGAGGAGCCCAGGCCGAGCTCGCGGGAAGGGGGCAGCTCCCCACACCCCCGTATGGGGTGCCAAGCCCGCTGAAGGGGGAGGGATGGAGCCGCACGGCTGGGCTGGCTGGAGGGGCTTGTTTTCATGTGGTCGGCCCAGTGCAGCCCTTCCCCGCCGGGGGAGGCTGGATTCTGCCTGCGGGAAGGTATTTGAGCTGGCGGCGCTCCAGGGGCGAGGACTGCCTGGAGCAGCACCATGGGCCTGGGCAAGGGAATGAAACCCTCAGAACTTGCTCTGCGAAGCCCTGGGGCGGGGTCTGGGACGCTGGCCCCACCTTTGCGGCACAGGGGGTTGCTGTTGTCGAAGCCGCAGGGCGGGACGTCCCTGGGCACGCCTTTCCCCGGCCAGTGGATTTCACGCCCGGGCACCGCGCTCATCTTCTTGGTGGTGCCATTGTAGCTGTAGACTATCTGCAGAGGGCGAGAGAGGGGGGCTCTGGGAGGGGGCCAGCAGCAGGAACTCCCCAGGGTCCCAGGCTGCCATCACCCCCTCCCCCCACCAGCTATAACGCCCAGGTAACAGGGCCCTGGGTTCGGCTCGGAGCCGTCCCAGTCCAGCCTCGGGGGGTGGCTGCAGAGGACAGAGCTGGGAGGCTGGGCCGAGACCCACTGACCTGGAACGTGCCCGACATGGGGTCCATATCCCACAGTGAATAGTCGCTCTCCCGGTCTCCGTTCTCATCAATCTTCAGGAAGCCGGTGACTCCTGCGGGGAAGGGGGGGGTGAGAGACCGCAGGACCAGCCCCCTCGCAGGGCAGCACCCGGGGTCAAAGGGCAGAAGGGCCTGAAAAATCAGGCTTTGAGGCTACAAGTGGAGAAGGGGATATCGGGGGGGACCATATGGCTCTGAGATGCAGCCCCTCTGGGGTGGGGCGCAGAGGCTGGTTATACAGGGATCCCTCGCCTGGTGCCGAGATGCAGCTGCCTCTGGGGTGGAGCGCAGCAGTGCACAGCAACACTACACAGTACTGGCTAAAAAGCGAAGGAGAAACCTGCACGCCGCTGCACTGCTGGGGAATTTCACCCCCTCCCTGTGTTAGAAAGGGGCCGGGGGCTGACTCCAAAGAGCGCAGGCCCCTGGGCTGGGGCTCGTCTGACAGACCCTCTGGCAGCCCAGCGTCCACTCAGCCCCATGGCGGAGGGGCCCCACCAGAAGGGGGAGCGGAGCCACGTGGAGCCCGGCCAGGGCATTTGGGATGCTTTCTGGCGGGGTCCCCAGCGTGGGCGTAGAGCTGTGAGGGGAGCGGCTCCATCACTCCACAGCCCATCCATCTCCCGCCGAGTAGCCCGGCCCAGCGGCTCCCGGCCCAGCTCACGCCCCGAGCCGCTAACGATCCCAGCCCTGGAATTTCTGGAGAGAAGGAACGAGCGGCTCGGGGAAAGGATCCATCTGGCAGCGCTGGGCAGGGCAGGGAGGTGGCTGGCACCTGGCTCCGTGGCCAGCACCATGGGAGTGGCGCCCCTGCTGGCCCTGCCGGGAATCACAGGCCAAGTCCCCCCAGGGCTTCTCCCCCAGCTGTTCCCCAGGGCTTCGGGCTGCACAAAGGGGTCTCTGCCCCAGGGGCAGCCACTGGAGACTCCAGCGTCCGTACGCTGGGGGGGGCGCTCACCGTAGAAGGTGCGGTTCCACATGTGGTGGGTGATGGCGCTGGCGTTCCGGACGGTGCCGCCCTGCTGGAGGGTCTCGTTCACGGCCCGGGCGTATAGCAGCACCCCGTCGTGGAAGGCCGCCGCGATGTAGTTCATCTGAAAGGGATGGGCTGGCTCAGAACCGCTGGGGTGGTGCCATGGGCTGGGTGGGGGGCAGGGGGGAAGAGCTGAGGTGCCCATGCTGCCCCAGGACAGAGGGGTGCTACCCATGCACAGACTGCGGGCAAGTCTTTGTGCCCCCCCCGGTTCTTTATTGGGCTGCTGACCGGCCCTGCTGTCTCTGGCCAAGGAGGGGCGGCCGGTGCGGGGGTGGGGGGGCCTTACCAGACCGTCCTGCAGGGTGAAGTTGAAGTGGGTGCGGGCCCCCTGCTTGAGCTGCTCCAGGAAGGGCTGGTACTCGGGGTTCTCGGGCTCCTTGCAGGTGATGATCATCACTGCCTGGGGGGAGGGGGGAAGAGGGAAGAGAGGCTGAGCCAGGAGGCCTGGGGGAGGTGATGGGCCTGGGTTTCCCACATGGCGCCTGCAGCCCCACGAGTGGGCAGCTGCCAGGACTCCCCGCGGGAGGGTGGCTGGTGATCTGGCACCTCCCAGGGACTCCCCCCGCCACTGCCCGGCTCCCCTAGCCAGTGGGCAGAAGCCTCCAGGTCTGCCAGTCTGGCCCCTTCCTCCGCCCCATCTTGCTTCCAGGCTCCCTCGGCCCCTCCAGGCCTGGGCTCCCTGGGGAGGTTGGGGGCAGTGTCCCGCCCCCGGGCTATTAATAGCCTTCCCTGGCAGTGCTCAGACCTGGGGAAATTATCTCGCTTCCTTCCTCCCTCCTCGTTATTTGCTGACAGCAAAGAGCAAACAGGCAGGGGCTGGCCAGAAGCAGGGAGGGTGAGGGGCACTAGCTGCCCCCACGGCCCCTCGTCTCTAGGGCAACAGAGGGGCCTGGCTGGGGCAATTTGGGCTGAGGCCCAGCAAACTCATGTCACAAGTGCATTTGGCAGGATTCAAACCCAGGGCTCCAGAGCTGCAAACTGAGCCTGTCAGCCCAGTGCCCCTCCCCCAGGAACCTGTAACCTGCCCGCGGCACCTTTATACCAGTGAAGCTGGGTGCACCTTAGCACGTGTGCCAGCGTGACTGTCCTGTGCCAGGTGCAAACACGGCATGTTCTGGCTGCAAGGGGGAGAGCACCATTGCCCCGCTGCTCCGCGGTGCTGCCCTCTCCGCACAGAGCCAGGCCAGGCCCTGCACTTGGTACCTGGCCTCCCCAGGTACCTGGCTGGAGGGCACCATCCTGGGCACGCCTCACCTTAAAGGCCTCCCTGGCGTTGGCGTCATCCTTGTCCCCGCGTCTCCAGGGCCTCTGGGGCTCGGGGAAGCGGGAGCCCTGCAGGCTGGCCCCGAAGATGTCGATGTAGAAGAAGGCGAAGTCCCCCTGCATGAGCCCCTCGCGCCGGGCCTGCAGCATGAGCTGGCGGAAGGTGTCCGGGGGGCAGCAAATGTACACGACTGAAGGGGCAAGGATGGGGTTAGCGGCACCAGCCCCTGGACACGTGCCCTGCATCGCCGGGGGCTCCTCTGTCCTGGGGACCCTGACCCGGATTCTCTAGCTCCGGAGCGGTCAGAGCCGAGGGAGCAATGCATGGACCCCCACGTGCCCCGAGATCCTGCCCTGACCCTAATGCTCCCCACTCCCCCCCCCTGCTCCGCCGCCAGAGGGGAAGCGGCTGGACCGGAGCTGGGCAGGCTGGATGGGTCACTGCCCTGGCCCCGGCAGTCCCTCGGGCGGGCTGGTGCAACAGAGAGCCGGGGACGCCCTGTGGGGCATGGCCGGGCACAGGGGTCGGTGTGTGACTGCGCGCGCACACACACACACACACACACACTTGTGCACACGCACACCAGACACACCAGCTAGCGTTCCTCCTGCCCTGTGCCCCACACCGCCCCCTGTGGAAGAGGCCAGGGCTGGAGTAGCCAGGAGCCACCAGGACTTCCTGCTAGCCCATCCCAGAGCAGGGGTCCAGGCCCTTGGCAGGCACAGCCAGGAAGCCAAAGCCCCAGGGCTCTGCCTGCACTTTTCTCCATATTCCTCCTATGCTGAGCTGGAAAGACAACAAGCCCCCACCCCGCCAGGAGCTGCCAGAGCCGCCTCCCCTGGGAGGCCGAGGTTGTGAAATCTGGAGGAGCTGAGCTTAACGAGCTGTTCTCCAGCCTGCCTCACAAGGGTCCAGGGAGGGCCGTGCCAGGCCCCTAGGACGCAGCCAGCGCCGGAGGGAGGGGGCTTGGCCTGGCTGTCCAAGTGCCCAGAGCTACACACCACAAAAGGGTTGAGGGGAAGGGGGGGTGTGTGCTATATAATGACTGGGAACCGGGACTCCTGGGTTCTCTCCCTGACTCTGGCTGGGGAGAGGGGTCTAGTGGTTAGAGCAGGAGAGGGGCAGGGCTGGGAGGCAGGACTCCTGGGTTCTAGCCCCAGCTCACTCTGCGATTTGGGGGCAGGCCCCTTTCCCTGCACTTGCCCCAGCCTCCCCCCGCCATGAAGGGGGCGCGTCCAGAACGGCTGGGAGGGTCACAAAGTAGATTATAAAATTGGACGAAGTAGATTATAAAATTGTAGCTGCGGGCAGCAGCCCCCTGCCCGCTCCCCCAGCGGGCACAACCCTCGCCTGGGCCAGGCGGGGGGCACGGCTGCCCGGCTGTCCGGTCGGAGAGGTGGGGCCCCAGCTCTAGGGCTGCGAACAGAGACAGCCCATCCTGTTGGCTCAGCCGGCCCTTCCCAACGACAGATCTATTTAGCAACAGCTGGTGTTCGTCCCCGTGGCAAGAGCAGGCCCAGGGAGAGGTGGGCTGCACATGGGGGGGCACCACGCCAGCCGCTTCACCCGAAAACCCCCCACTGGTGCCAGCAGCCAGGGTGGCACCCGCCCAGCCCAGCCACCACCAGGACAGCCACCGCTCTGGGCAGGGCGGAGGCCAGCGGGAGCTGGGAGCCTGACTCTCCCCAGCCGTGGGCCGCTGTGCCCACGGGCATGCAATGCCACGGCCCTGCTTACACCCGCTGTGCCCGGGAGTGGCAGTGGCACAAGCCACAGGTGGCAGGCCAGAGCGTCCCCAGCACAGCCAGCCCGGGGGCCGCCCCGGAGACGATCCTGGAATGAGCGCCCGGCACTGACGGGCTGGGGCCGCACGAGACACGGGGCCAGGAAGCCGACCAGCGATCTCGCCCTGGAGGAGACGCGAAAAAGCCCAGCGCCCAGGGGCTGGGGAGCAGGGAGGGGGTCGGAGCCCACCCTTTCCTAGGCCTCAGCGGGCCGGGAACATCCTGTTATTTTCCGGCCGCGCGCGACCCGGCCTGTTGTTTCCCTGCCGCTGGCCCAGCCGTGTCAGCCAATGTGGCCAGGGTCAGGGGGCGCGTTCGGTCAGCAGAGCCCCGGCCAGGCCGAGTCAGCGCTCGGCCCCTCCGCAGCCAGGGCGCCAGCCCAGGGGCTTCCTGTTGTGCTGACTTGGCGTCTCCTCCCCTCCAACCCAGGCTTCAGGCCGTGATTTATCTGAGGCGCTCGCCCAGCGCCCGGCCCCGGCCCTGCCCCGCGGGCCCCGGCTCCTTAGCAGGGCCGGGAGAGGAGACCGGCCGGAGGCAGGGGCCCAGCTCGGCTCGGAGAGCTGGGGAGAGTCCGGCAGGCCCTGGGGGGTCCATCCAGGGTGGGGTGAGGGCCTGCGGGCAGGGCAGGGTGTGGAAGGGGGTCCTGCGCCCTGCCCAGGACACCGCCTCCTGCTGGGGGAAAGCAGGGAGGTGGGAGAGGCAGTCCAGACCTCCTGCCCTGTCGCTGTCGCAGCCCCGGGCCATCCCACGCACCCCCTGGCCGAGGAGTTACTCCGTGGGGCCATGCCTTGCCCAGTCCAGCAGCGACGGGCTCCGGGGAAGGTCCCTGGAGGGAGCGCGAAGCCGGACAGGGAGCGCGCCAGGCCCCAGAAATAGCCGAGACAAAACAAACCGAGGCAGACACAGAACGAACACCGTGAAATAGGCACCAGGGACAGACAGAGCTTGGCAGTGCCCTGGGAGCCAGCCTGACCCCGGGGACCCTCACACCACGCCCAGCCCCACGGCGCCTGGGAGCCAGCCTGCCCCCAGGGACCCCCACACCACAGCCCAGCCCCACAGCGCCTGGGAGCCAGCCTGCCCCCGGGGACCCCCACACCACACCACGCCCAGCCCCACAGCGCCTGGGAGCCAGCCTGCCCCCAGGGACCCCCACACCACACCACGCCCAGCCCCACAGCACCCTGGGAGCCCCCACACCATGGACTGTCTCTCTCCTACTCCTGCCACAGAGCCACACCCCTCAGAGCAAACTGCAGCAGCACCACTGAGCCACTCCGGCTCCAGGCTAGGCACTGCCTCAGTTTCCCCTCCTAGGGCTACTGAATAATGTCACCACAGGCTTCCCTGGCTCAGGTCACAGCCCTTCCTGGGGGAAATCACAAAGTTCCCCAGGAAACCCCCAAACTCCTCCCCAGCCAAGCCCCGGCCCTGCTGTGGCTTCTTCCCACTAGAGAATTTTCTCTTTGCTGGCTTCTACTGCCTACGCCCCAGCCCTTGGGACTCTGTACAACAGCAACCCCCAAGACCTCCCCCAAGGGTCTTCTTGCTCACCTGGTTTTATTTCCACCCCAGAGGCCTGATTTAGCCACCTGACCTGCCAGTCATGTGACTTTGCTCCTGGCGGGGGGGGGGGGTGGTGAACTAAGTGGGTCACAGGTGGGGCTGTGCCCATCTCCCCTTAAAGGGCCAGGCACCCCTTAAAGGGCCACCTGGAACTGCTTGGCACCAGTGGGGATAGAACTCACATCCTCCTGTGGCACAAGCCCAGGCACCTGAACGAAAGGGAAATCCTCATGTAGCGACTGCAGTGCAGGGCCCATGACACATGGGTGAGCAGTGGAAGGCATACAGAAACCCCCACACGTTAGGAAACGAAGCAGAGAAAGAAGCGGATGGGAGTAAGTGGGCTCCGCGCCCCTGTATAAACGGCACAAGTGCCCCCCTGCGAATCCGGCACTGCCACGCCTACCCAGGGGAGCGGAACGCTAAAGAAGTTGCAGCTGCAAACAGGTAAGTGCCCCTCCTCCTGGAGACAAGATAATCACCCCTAATTCCAGCCTGCATCCCTGCATCCCTGGACTCCCCGTTACAGGATTCCTCTTCACATCCTGGCTTAAAACATCTGGCAGCGTTGCCATGTGGCTGTACGCAGCGGCCGTGGCCCACCCCAGACATGGCTGCATTTCGGGGACTGAGGAAGTTCTAGGGCCAGAGTCTCAAAACGATTCAGCTGCAGAAGAATCCGGCCTGCTGGGGGCCAGCTGGGGGCCGGGCTCCTGGGTAAATCTGGGCCCGAGGGTAGATGCTCAGCCCCGGAAAAGCTGGCACTCGAGGTTGGGCTGGGAGGGTTAATGATATTAATTAGCACCACCACAGCGTCCTCAGTCCTTCACCCCCCGGGAGGAAGCCACGTCCCTCACTCGCGGGACAGAATGGCGTGATCCACTGGCACCCTTAGAAAAACCTCCACTAATAACATCACCTCGGTCCGGTGTGCTCTGCCCAGCCGGGGTGGGGCCCGCTGGGCATCCGGCCTGTCCTTCTCTGTGGGCAAGTGGGCACGGAGCCTGGCTCATCCCTCCTACAGGGAGACGTGGCTCAGAGCTGAGCTCCCCGTGTCTGTCAGGGCCCCCCATGGACACGAGGCATCCTGGGACGCCTGGTCAGACGGGGGAGCGGCTAGATGGAGCAGGCTGCACAGGGAGGGATGACACCCCTGCTGCCTCCGAGCCCAGGGTCTCTGGTCTCCCCCATGTTTGCAGATGAAGCCGTGCGGCTGATTCGGATTCACTCCCCCTAGGCTGGGGGTGGGGGCATCTTCGGGGCAGGCCCGGGGCTGAGGTCTGGGGTCGCTGCTTGGATTCACAGTTTGACGTGGGGGGAGCAGGAGGAGAACTCTGGGCTGAATGCTCCCGCCACGCATCCGGGCGCTCTGCCCCCCCCCCGGCCCATCCATGGGGTGCTCCCCCTCCCAGCTCTCACAGCGTCTCCACGGGAAGCCCATCACCATGGCGCTGGAGCGCCCGGCTGTCAGACGGGCTGGGGAGGTGTCACTCCGCTCCACTCCCTTGCCCCCCGGGGGTGTCTCTGCTTACCCCAGCCTCCCCCCCCATCGCCTGCTATCCGAGCAGCGACTCCCCTCCCCACAAGAAGGAATTCCTGCCTGGCTCTGACCCGGGCTGGAGCGATCGCCTGTTAACCCCTGGCTCTCATTAGGTGTGTTTGGGGAGCACGGAGATGCCCGGTCCCAGATCGGGCCCCACTGCGCCAGGTGCTGTACAGACGCAGCGCAGAGACGGCCCCTGGCCTGCAGAGCTCACAGCCTCGGGGGCCGGATCCTGCTCTGAATGACGTCGGCACAAAGCCAGGGCAGGCGCTGATGCAGCTCATTGCTGTACTGCGCTCCCCCGCAGCACGGCCCTGTGGTCAGCCCTGGGCCGGGCAGGCCTCTGGGAGCAGCCATGGGATGAGGCCGGGCGTTGCCATAGCAGCTGTGACTTCCAGAGGGCCAGGCCTCTTGCCTTTTGTCCCAGCCAGGCCAGGAGCTGGCTCTGTGGGATGGGCCATGGGGTCAGGGAGCACGGGGCAGGTTGGGGCTATGATTTTTCAGTGCCAGGTGCCCAGGATTCGGTGGGTTAGAAACCCAGTGAGGGTACAATAAACCCTGGGCAGGAAGACGATCCATCTGCCTGCCCCAGCTGCCCCTGAAAACACACGCACAAATCCATCCCTCTGCATGCGCACACGCATGTACACAACCACACACACATCCACGCACGCTGCCTAATCACCAGGGATCCTAGTTGCCTGTGATAAAAAAACCCGACATTCTCCAATACAAACACAAAACTAGCCATGTTTTTCCACGGTTAAACCGAAGTGCTGACCCTCACTTTCCCCGGCCGCAGTACACACGGGTATCCGCGGAACACGGGGTTTTAGTGACAGCCAGTAGAAGCCCGTTTATCCAGCTCTGCATCTGAACCAAACCGGGGCTGAGAGCTGCCCGAGGGAGCGTCGGATAGGGGGGGCTCGGCTAAACGGGGTTCTACGGTGCCTGTTTTTATTTTTTCACTAAATGTAAAAGCTGAAGATTCTCTGTCAAGGGGCCAGTTCTGCGTCTTTCCGTGGCCAGCAGATTTCCAGGTGCCCTGCGACTCAATCCGTCTCCACACCCGCACACACACACAGAGACACACGCCCGCCCGGGGCAGGCAGCACTGCTGTGCGTCTCCGAGCCCGCGGGACAGTTAGACGTTCCCAAGCCCAGGGCTCCGTGGTCGGGCTGGACACATGGTGGGAGGCGAGGGGGGGGGGACTTTCACTGCCCATCTGTGGGGCACCTCCCCAACGTGCAGGTTTGAGCCGAGGCCCCGGCCCAGTTCCCTGCTGTCAGGGCCAGATCCAAGTCCGTGGATAGTCTCCTCCTGTAGCAGGGTTTGGATCAGGCCCTTAGAGCCGACAGCCATGGTGCCAAGTGTCATCTGGGCTGGGGGGTTCAGAGCTTGTCTCCCCATCAGGTGCCCCTGCCCCGGGCTGGGCTCTGCTCGCTGCACCCCGGCAGGCTGGCGCCCACCTGCAAAGCGCCCACCTGCCTTCTGGTGGCCAGGCTGGGGCGTTCGTGGAGACCGAGCGTTTGGAATGAAACCAGCCCCATGGGATCGCCCCAGGGGTGTGCACTGGGCCCTGGGCTAGCGAGCTGCCCTGCACTCTGCAGCGGCTGGGTAACGGCTCCGGCAGGGGATTGTCCCACCTTACATCTCCCACAGGGAGCCAGCCCCCTGCCGCTGGCACAGAGCACTGGGGACCGGACTGTTGGGGGATTAGATGGGACCTGACGGGTGGATTGCACCTCGAGTGGCTTCGGCTGGGGCCAGATTCAAACCCCCAAGCAGAATTCCCCAAACCAGGGCCAGACCAAACGCACCCCATCTCCCTGCAGCCGGACTCCCGTTGGCTCTAGACTAGGGCTTGGAGGGGCCCCCGACACGACCTGTCCAAGCTCCCCTCTCTCACTGCCCGGGGGAGGGGTGTACATTTCACCCGTCACCCCCATCCCAGCAAGCTCCTTGCCTTTTCCAATTCAGAGCCACCCCCCACACCGCTCAGCTCCCCCACTCCGTGTGCAGGGAGCCAGGGAAACCGAGCCTGCGCTGGGCTGGCTGGAGCGGCAGCACACCACAAAGTTAACACAAAGCAACTCGGAGAAAACTTTCCCCCCCGACCCGCTGGGAATCCAAAGGGCTGGATCTGTTCCACGTGGGGGGCTGGGAGAAGGGGGGCAGCGTTTCCGTGTGTGTGTGGGGGTGCATTAAGGAGGTGGGGCGGCACCGGGGCCCCTTGCATTGTTCGGTTGAAGACGAGTGCCATGCGGGGGTGTTGCCGGGGGTGCCGTGGTGGGAAGGCTGCACTGGGGCAGCCTGGGGTTGGGCTGGGGGAGGTGAACCCTGGGGTGGCTGCACGTGGGGGGGGGGGGAAGTTGTGCCGCAGAGCAGGGGGCAAAGTTGCACTGAAGTGGCAAGCAGGGCTGCGGGGAGGGAGGAGCTGCAATAGGGAGATGTTGCATAGGGGGCTTGTGGCACCGTGGGGCAGGGGGGGCCCTGGAAGCAGCCGTACCAAGGTGGGGTGGGAGGGTCACTTACTTCTGCCCTTCTGCTTGATGTCCTGGATTAGGGAGGTGTAGTTGGCCTGGTCCTTGAAGGAGATGTCCATCACGGTGAGGTTGTGGACGGTGGGCAGCTGCATGTACAGCCCCTCGATGGCGAAGAAGCAGGGCCGGTCGTCCATCTTCTCGTCCGAGTAGACCAGCATGGCGCGGTGGGTCCAGTTGAAGTGGCGCTGGAGCCCCACGACGTACTCACCCAGCTTGCGGTGGCTGGGCCCGGCCCGCGTGGTCAGGGAGAACATGTCCTTGTTGTCGAAGCCGTGGGCCTCGGCCCCGGCCGTCACCAGGGGCAGCTTCCAGTGGCTGGTCAGGCGGGCCACGGGCGCCGAGCTGTAGACGCAGCCGGGGCCGATGAAGGCGTCGGGGTTGTCGGTCAGCTTGAGGTCCACGGCGGCCACGGGGGCGTCCTGGTCGGAGCAGACGCCGTGCTTGTCCTCGCTGTTCCCGAACACCCAGCGCACCGTGTGGCCCGGCAGTAGGTCCGGCTGCCGGTTGATCCGGTCGATGGCCAGCCAGATGGCAGGGCCCACGCGGGGCCAAGCCCACGGGTAGGTCATGTTTTGCTTCGGCAGCAGCACGGCCAGCGTCAGGTTGGCCCCTTGGCCCCGCGACCCGCCCAACTGGCACAGGACCCCGCACAGCACCACCAGCGCCCACCGCATGGCGTCACTGGCGCATCGCTGCCCCCCGAGGTGCAGCCCCCCGGCTCCCCTGCTCCAGCCCCCTAGATCCCGGCGGGCCACCCCGTGACCATGGCCGGAATTCCGAGTCTGCCCGCGCCCGCTGCCCCTCCGCGCCCCGTCCCCCCACTGCCCTGGGCTCCAGCCGCTGGGAGCTCCCTTCCCTTCCCTTCGCTTCCCTTCGCTTGCTTCCCGGTGCTGAAAGTGACTGATTATCTCCCAGGCAGGCAGCCTTTTCCTTCCCCTCATTCAATGACAAAAGGGCTGTTATCATGCACAGCTCCTTAACCCCCTCCTGCCCAGAACCCCCCAGCGCAGGCAGGGAGCACCTGCCCGAGGGAGGGGACAGGGAAGGGGTGTGTGTGGGGGGCGGTTTCCCAAAGCCCGGTGAGGTGGGGAGGAGACGGATGTTGGCCCCCCGCTAGTCGCCCCCAGGACTGAGCAGAGCTGCCGGACGCGGCCAGGGTATTTCGGGTTTTGCCCAGGAATTGAACTGAGAGGGGGCGTTCGACGTCTGGGGGCGGGTTGGCAACACTGCCTGTAACTTGTTGACCACTGGGGGGGATGTGGGAGTTGGGGGTGGAGGGAAATCCCAACGGGCAGAGAGGGGACAGGATGGGATGAGATGAGATGGGGGGACCAGGGCAGGGTGGGGAGGGCCCCATGGGGAAAGGGTGATTACCAGTCACCCTGGGCTGTGTGGCTTGATCCCGCCGTTTGCCCCACTCCTCCCACGTGGGCAGCGTTCCCACCTGGGGGTGAAAGGGAAAGAACTGGTGCCCCCCACGTCCCGCCACCAGCTCCGGGGCTCTCGGGCCCTGCTGAGGGCACGGCCAGTGTGTGGGTGAGCACCGGCCTGGCTGGAAGCAGGGCTCAGGTGGGGGGTCGAGGGGAAGTTCCCGGCTCCCCCCTGTTTATAAAACTTCACGCTGAGCAAGGAGTCAAAGGACCCCGCAATGCCTGAGACGGAGACGGTGGGGGGCGGCAGAGGCTGGGGAGCAGATGGGGGGGGCAATGGGCCGGGGGTGGGGAGAAGGGGCTGGGGAGATAATGAGGGGAGGGGGCAGAGGAGGGCTGGGGGGGCAGAGCTGAAGAAAATAAAGTATCCAGAGCCCTCCATGGAGGCTGGAGTGGGGGCCCAATCCGGGAAGGGGACCAGGGCCTGATCCTGCTGGGTCCCCGCCTCCCGCACCGGCCCCAGGTTCCAGCTCTCCTTCGCCCCCTGGGGGCAGTGGTGGGGACGGCAGCTCTCCTCCTCAGCGGTTACTGCATCCAGACCTACAGCATCACCAACTCTTGTGATTGTCTCATGATATTTGGTGTTTTCTCTTAAATCCCCAGCTCCTGGAGTCAGGAGACTCTCAGCTCATGTGTGAAATCCAAGTCTGGTTCTGGCCCTTGTGGGTGCAGGGATAAGCTGGAGAATGGGAAAGAGGGGCAGCCCTGACGGCCCCAGCACCAGAAAGGGGGAGCCGAGGAGCTGACCTCATGATTTGGGAGAGCGGGCTGGTGCTTTGGGGCACTGGCGGTGGGGAGGATTGAGTCCAGGACAGTCTTTGGCAGGGGTCCCTCAAAGGAAGAAGGGGAGCCGTGCACAAAGACCCCCCCACACCCCATGGCTGAGCACTGCCCCAGAGACACGCAGGGGCCTCACACACAGACACGGCATGCAGACCACAGGGCTGCTTCTGTGCCTGGTGCAAATCAGGAGCGCCCCCGGTGATGAGCGCCGCCGCAGAAGAGGGGGATTGGGCCCCTTGGAGGGGGTGGGGGTGGGCTGGAGAGCCGGGAAGCAGACCTGGCGGCTACCTGAGAAGGAGGTAGCAGAGAGAGGGGCCCAGGAAAGTCAGAGGGGGCCCTGGTCTGAGACTCAAGAGGACGTAATTCTGGGCTGCCACAACCCTGCTGGTGCTGGGCGAGTCCTTTGCCCTCCTACGCTGGGGCAGCGGGGTCTCCGAGAGCCAGTCTATCCAGGCTGTGGCTGCTGCAACAGGCGTCCTGTTTCGGCTGGAATTTCTAGCTGCCGCTGCAGTCCAGCAACTAGCACCCCCGGGGCACTTTATTTACCGCGCCGTGGGGAATGTGCCACCAGGGTCAGCGGGGGCACGGATATGGCCAATCCCCCATTAGAGGAGAGGGAGTTAATGGAGCCAGTTATCGGTGGGGGGAGCAGAGATACAATAATGTCGCAGCGAGGCCAGAACCTGTGTCAGGGCAGGTTATTAACGGGAACGGGCGGCCGGAGCGTTTGCCTTGCAAATGGGCTTCCCATGCAAAGGAGTGAATTCGTTTCCAAGGCGCTGAGCTAGTTACCGCCGGGTCCGTATTGTCTGGGGAGAATTTGTTCCTGGGGCTGAATGGGAAAAGCAGGCGGAGAAAGGCAGCGCTTTGTTAAATGCAGCCTCGACCTTGCACTCAAGGCGGGGGCTGCATGTTGGGGGGCAGCTAATAAAGTCGCCCCCTGCCCTGGCTGGATTGCAAACCGCTGGGAAACAGGAGAACTCGAAGCACCCTGAGCAGCACCAGTGCTAGCGAGAGGAGTGAGTAGAGAACGCTGAGCCAGCTTCCAAGAGCGTGGCCCAGCTGCATGGAAAACGTGTGTAGTGGAAGGAGCAGCGGAGAGGGAGCCAGGACTCCTGGGTCCTACCCCTGTCTCCAGGAGGGGAGCTGGGTCTTGTTAGAGCGGGGTGGGGGTTGGGGGCCAGGACCCCTGGGTTCTCCCTGACTACATGAGGGGAGCTGGGTCTTGTGGG